CTGTTCTAGAGGGAGAGGATGAGTGCCCTGGGTCCTTTGGCTTAAGGCAGCGGTTCTCAACCTGTGGGTCAAGACCCCTTTGGCCGTCGAACGACCCTTTCACAGGGGTCGCCTAAATACATCCTGCATATCAGATATTTATATTATGATTCATAACAGTAGCAACATTACAGTTATGAAGTAGCAACGAAAATAATTTTATGGTTGGGTCACAACATGAGGGACTGTATTTAAAGGGCCAGAAGGTTGAGAACCACTGGCTTAAGGGCTTTTATCTGTAGGTCTTAGGGGGTCTCTCAATGGAGTATTCTTCAGCTTTTCAGGTGAGGAATACCTCAGGGTCCTGGTCTCCACTGATTGGTTGGCACCAGAGCAGGATATCATCAGTCATCGCACCTGGTTCTGATGTCAGCCATGGTGTCACCCCACCTTGCCTTACTGCTTTTCTGGGCCTGAAGCTGAAACACAACTGAGGCCTAGATGTTATCTCCAGGGCTTGTATGGGAGTCGTATGAGGCTATTCCCTGGCCCCTTGTTCCTCCTTTAATGGGGTCTACCACACATCACTAGCAACATGCCAGGAGAGGGAAGGTCAGGGGAGGATTCCAACTGCAAGACAGGGATGAGAAAGATCAGGTCTCAACTGCATGACCAGCAAGGTGGTGGAGACACTGTACAGTGTACAGATGATGAATGTAAAGTTGTGCACCTGAAACCTGTGTAATTTTGTTAACCAGTGTCACCTCAATAAATTCAATAAAAAGGAAAGTGCATAAATAAAGCACATGACCAGCAATATGCTAGGGAAGGAAAGGTCACCCTGGGGGTGAAGTCCCTCCTTACAATTGTTTGTTGCTAGGCACCCACCCAGGGCTTTTGGCCCTGGTGACCTTCTGTACCTGGCCTATTGTTCCCACTTTGCTCATGTCTGTCTAACTGCCTACTATATCAGATTGGAAGCAGATTAATATTTTTAAAATTCTATTTGGTTTTTTAAGCATTTACTGATATATATATATATTTAAATTTTTAAATATATTTTATTGATTTTTTACAGAGAGGAAGGGAGAGGGATAGGGAGTTAGAAACATCTATGAGAGAGAAACATCGATCAGCTGCTAATGTTGTGGCCCCACCCCATAACAAAGAAACAGAATTTCCAGAGGATGAGGCCCAGAAATCAGGATTTTAAAAAGATTCCCAGGTGATTCTAATGTGCAGCCAAGGTTGAGAACCACTGCTTTAGAGGACTGCAGGGGTCTATCGGGCAGATTATCTCACAGTGCTGACCAGATGGACTGATTTAAGATTCCACTCCTGGGGGAGGTTGTAATTGTAATTAGCTTACAATTAGGTAGCATTAAGTCTTGGTTTGGTGACATGGGCTTAGAACAAGTGACTCCAATTTTGGTGTGTTGTCTCTATTTTAACAACCCAAATTAATGTTAAAACATTTTTATTGCAATAACGTGGGTGGGCCTTGAGGTTATTATGCTAATGAAATAAATCAGATGGAAAAAGACAGATACTAGCCCGGCCAGAGTGGCTCAGTGGTTGAGCATCGACCTATGAACCAGGAGGTCAAGGTCTGATTCCAGGTCAAGCCACATGTCTGGGTTGTAGGCTTGATACCCAGTAGGGGGCATGCAGGAAGCAGCTGATCAATGATTCTCTCTCTTTATTGATGTTCCTATCTTTCTCCCTCTCCCTTCCTCTCTGAAAATCAATAAAAAAATACATTTAAAAAGAAAAAAAGGAAATGAAGAAACAAAAGAAAAACAAGCTTATAGAGGCAGGCAACAGATTGGTGGTGAGCAGAGGGGAACAGGGATAGAGGGAGGTCAAAACAGGTAAAGGGGCTCAATTGATGGTGTTGAATGGAAACTGGACTTATGGTGGTGAGCATAACCTGAAACTGATATAATGTTATAAGCCAATATTACCTCAATAAAAATTAAATTACAAAATAAATAATATATTTTATATGCAACTGTACATTATGAAGGGCCCACTCAAAATGGGGGCCAATTAATATTTGCTTTCTCCTAATCCCTTGGCCTTTTCTTTACATTTTCAGTAGGTTTCTCTCTATTTTTCCTCAGTTGTCATTTCTGATGTCATCATTTGGTGAAACACCTAAACCTCACAATGATGTATAATTGCAAGAGACAGAGAAACCATTTAGTCCAACTCTCATTGATAACGGGGAAAAAAACAACAAAAGATGGAACGCCTGTGGACTCGTTCCAAGTCACATAACAAATGAGTTGGAAGCACAAGAATAAAACCCTGGACCTTGGTTCCCATTCTAGTGGTTTCCTCAATGGTTTGGTTTTGTTGTTGGGATTTTCTCTGGCTTCCTTGGAAAGTAAATCAGTGATGGCATTTGCATAGTGCCTTATAAGGCACCTCAGATATTTTAGCTTGTGTTTGAAATGAATAGCTGAGAGACCCTGATGTAACAGTTAAGTATTGCTTCTAGTTTTTTTGGTCTCCTCCTCTGTAAAAAGGAATTACAATGTTCTGCCTCATAGACTTGTTGTAAGTGGTAAATAACTTGCTACAATGTAATCACTCAGGCACATATTAATTATTTTCCATTTTTATCATTAATAATAATATTGTTATTATTTGTTTTTGTTGGGAGTTGGGGGAAGAAGAGGAAAGGATGAAGAACCTTCAGCCCTGGGGTGCTCCCTGTCTGAGCTCAGGGATCTCAGCTTGACCTTGTGTTTATCAAAAAAAGGGGGCCATGCCATTTTGGCTTATTTTTGTTACTTAATATTGGTAAACAACTAAAAACAGAAGACTTGAAAAGAGATCATTTTTTTTCAACCGCTGCTCTCTGCATCATTCTAGGCTGTCATTGCTTTGGGATGCTGCATTTTAAGAGTAAATTATTTGGTGCCTGCAGGAGGTTAACATTCAAGGAAATGGAATTTCTCATGGAGGAAGAATTTCTAAACAAAAAGATACCTTATAAATATAACTCACTGAAATAACCATCATAGTGAACTCAAAGTGAAACGAACTATGAATTTACCAAAGTTTACCATTGAAAAAAAATCCTAAACCCTATGGTTTGTTGCTTTATAGAAAGGAAACCCCTTCTAAGTTTTACACTGTGATAAAATAAACCAGCTTCATGGAGAAATGAAGCTTCCCAAAGCAGAACAACCCAAGAAGTGCTTTTTCATTCAGATGTATTGCAACTCCAGCCTTCCCCAGCACCTTTTCCTTCCCACCCTGCCATTCCCCTCCCTGCAGCCATTTATCTCACAGAGGGAATGGCAGAAATATCCAAGGCTGGTCTTTGTTGAGTTATTCTGAAAATGATAGCCAGAGTAAAGGCAGAGCTGAGAGGACATGCTTAGCAGTGATGGCATCTTTTTTGGAATCACAGACCAAGTTAACACTGAAGATCAAAGCCAAGGAATTTGCCTCAGAAAAACACACAGATGCAAACATACCGAAAATCTAGTGCGTTCAGGATGTGTGGGCTCCCAGAGCCTATTTTGGGACATTATTGATGCACCTGGATGGTGGGAGTTGACAGGATTCCTGGCCTTGCTCCTTGCCAAGCTCTCTTTTGAGAACCAAGGGAGAAGAAAGGATTTACATATAGTGCTTGGGGATGGATCCAGTCCAGAGCCTGCTAAAAGCTGACTCTGGGTGGTTTTTTTTGGGCTCACCTTTTCTCCACTCATTAAATACGTAAAAGGTCAGATCCTCAGCTGTTTACCAACCAGGAGAGGAAAAAGGAAGAGACCCGCCCCTGAGTGACACTGTCACCTCCTTACAGTGCCATGTGGACACATTTTCTTCATATGTCCAATCAGAGCAGAAGAATCATACATATTTTGATAGTAATTACCAAGGTGGACATTTCTTTGTGGTACTAACCCACTCAGGTTTTATAAAAGGATCTCTGTTCTACAGAATAGTCCCATTGTGTAAGGAGACCTCATTCAAATGCAAATTTTAAGAGATTCTGGGGATAAATTCTTTGAGGAGAAATTGAGCTTAAAATAGTCACAGAAAAAATGAAAAAGGGTAGGGGAAATAAGGATGAGTTGGAGCATGCTTGCTGGATGATGCTATTCAATTTGACTCCCCCGCCCCATCCTATACTTTAAAATATAGAAATGTGCATGTACGTGAACATGCCTTGCGTTAGGTTTTTACTTGGGGTTAACAGGGGGCCCCTTTGTTTCCCTTTCATTGTCTTTATTAAAGCCAGCTGATCACATGTGCTATCGGTGGATATATGGAGCTCTTATTTTGTTCAAGTGAGAGCTCTGTGGCAGATGCAGGGTCTACGCAAGTTCCTGCTTCACTAGAAGTTGACATTCTTATAATCTAGTTTGGTTCCAAAGGCCTTAAGCAGGTGAGATAGTTATCTGTTGCTTGCGGGTGAGCTCTGATCCCACCACCGGTGCTAACTTTGTTACCTTGGATAAATGACTTAACCCCGCATAGCCTTGGCATCCTCTGTTTTCAGGGGTAAAACATCTGTGAAATATTTTGTGGGTAGAAGACATTGCACTTCTCAAACTATGTGAAGTAGGCAAATAAACTCCAACTTTGTTTTAGATCATCCCTGTGACCAGTGTAACAACAGAATGTCTGGGTTATTGGGATTAGATGGGATAGTAATATTTATAGCTGACAGTACTACTAGGCCCCGTTCTACATATTGTCTCACTTATTCCTCACAACTCTCCTGTGAAGTAGATACTATTATTACCCCCCCCCCCGCCTTTTATAAGTGAGAAAAATAGATGTGCAAAGAGGTTAAGAAACTTGCCCAAAGTCTTCCAGCCAGGAAGCACCAGGGCTGGGGGACTGAAACCCAAGTGGTCTGGCCCCAGAAGCCACACTCCTAGCTTCGGTCTTTTCCAGCCCTTTTCAGAGCTGCAGCATAGTCAGACCGAAAGGAGAACGTTAATGTGTGGTGGACTCTGACCTGTATTTAAGATGTTTTTTCTTTCCTGTTTCAGGTATCTGACTGCAAGCAGTAATAGAAATTTCCTGCTTACCATGCGGCCATTCTTAAAAAGGGCCATTTTGGTCATAAGTTATGTAAGTACATATACGCTTTTGAGTTATCTGCTAAGGGATGTTTCACTTTAACATGGCTCAGAGATGTGATCCAGATTATTTAATAGAATCAGCAGTAAATTCTAATACCTTGATCTTAGGATCCAAGAGTTAACATGCCATAAATGTCACAAAGCATTAGAAGGCACATGTGAAGGAATTCTACAGACATGTAAACTCCATGACACAGACAGTGTGAATGAACTACAGTATTTTACAAGCAATGCTTTTCTTACCAAATCTTCTTTTCCCTGAAGGTGATTGTTGTGTTGTACTTCCGCCTGTGGATAATGGGAGGATCGATGCCCCTCTTTTCAGAGCAAGATAATCCAGCTTCATTCTCCCCTTACATTCTCACAAGGTCAGTAGAAATACATTTTTTTAAAACTTTACTGGGTATTAATTAAATTGATTTGTAATCTTAAATGGTAAGTTGGATTTTAAAGAAAGGAGGGTTTTGTTCTATTCAGGTTGTGGGGAGAAAAGAAACGACTATTCATACATTTGGAATTCTTTTCAACGAATGGATCTATTTTGTTATATTGTTGCTATTGTTCTCATAATGCAGTGGTTCTCAACCTTCCTAATGCCGCGACCCTTTAATATAGTTCCTCATGTTGTGGTGACCCCCAACCATAAAATTATTTTCGTTGCTACTTCATAACTGTAATTTTGCTACTGATAAGAATCGTAATGTAAATATCTGATATGCAGGATGTATTTTCATTGTTACAAATTGAACATAATTAAAGCGTAGTGATTAATCATGAAAACAATATGTAATTATGTATGTGTTTTCCGATGGTCTTAGGCGACCCCTGTGAAAGGGTCGTTGGACCCCCAAAGGGGTCGCGAACCACAGGTTGAGAACCGCTGTCATAATGGCATGTATGTGTTTATTCAAAAAGCATTTTATTGACTACTAATCATCAATGATAAATATCTATTAAGTGACCCATATGGCAACTGTTACAGAACAATGCACAGCGTGGCATAGAGCTTGATTGGACATCATAACTATTTTTAAGATTAAAATGAGTGGAGAAGTTGAAAGTAGCAAACAGAAATGAACACAAACTTTTGTTAAGATATACCTAACTATATCTTACTATTTGTCTTAAGGGATTTAGAGGTATTGGATCAAGAGGGGATGTTGATCAGTGGATCTGGTTCATTGAGAAGAATCTAATTCCTTATCTCTTCAGTCTGCTGTGATGTTCTTCTGAGGCTTTCAGATATAATTATATTTCACAGTTTTTATATCTTTCTTCAGGATATATTGTTGCTATAATGTTTAAACATTAACATGCCCTCTTCTTAACTTTGCATAGTTTCATACACTTAACATCTACTAGTAATATTATTTTCATAAGAGTAACCTTCCATTCTGGCAGGTTTGCAATAACATATAAATCTTAAATGAAAACTTGATTTGTAGAGACATTTATATTTTGGTTTCCTCGTATCTCTTAGGGACAACAGATTGTTGGACTTTGTTTTTTTGCCAGGCAGTGATCTTTGTTTTATTTCACTCATTTACCTTATATGTTTTAATTGGTAAATTTCTAACTTTCTTGGCCTTCCATATTTTTCTTTATTGTTCCTAAAGACTATTTTCCACTCAAAAAGGAGACATTCACATTTGATTAAGCCATTTTTTAAATAGATATTATGTCACAATTGTTTTCATTGCTTACAACGTATTTTAAAAATCTTGAATATACCTTCAGAAATCATATGGTATTCAACCTCTAGTGTCGGCTTATCCCTTGGAGGCAGTTTAGAGTCTTATAAATTGTTGTTTATAGCTTATATTTTTCAACATGCTTTTAATTAAACCTTTAATTAAGATTGGCATCTCTAACTCAGATTTTTGTTAATGTTGCAATCTACTTGTCCTTTTTAGGCATCTCTCACGGGCTTTTAAAATCTCCAGGGCTCCTTGTCTGGACATTTTTAGCTCATTGATAAATTGTTTCAGTTTCTGTAGCTCCTTAAATAGCTACTTTCTGCTTTTAAGAGAAAAAACAGCTTGGCCAGATCCTCTTCTTGCTTAATGGCTCCATTTGCTTTAGCTTTGGGTTGGGTTTCCTCCAAGCTTTCTGGTCTCCTGAATTTGAGCTTGTATTCTTATCTCTGTAGTTAGATGCAGCCTGTTCCCTGCATTGTCAGTCTCCAAAAGCCAAGATGCAGTCAGAGAAACAGATGGGCGAGAACAAGAACAGACTACTCTCAACTCACCAACCAATTATTTTGTGTATGTCTTCTGTTATCAGTAAACACGTGCCTGGCCCCAGGTCCATGGTGTCAGGACAAGGGCCTTTGGTCTCTGTCTCAGTGCCCCTCTATCTGTACTGTCAGGGAGGGGATGGGGCAAATAAAATTCTGTGGGGGAGGGGATGGGGCGAATAAAATTCTTTGGTGGAACCTCTGGCAAAATTAGGACGTTGGACCAGTCATTTGTCAAGTTCTGCCTTTTACTTCCAAGGGATACATGTACATTTTTCAGAGGGGTCTGCTACACATTTTATCCAGGATTTTCTGTCTATAAATCTATGTAAGGCAATTCCAACAATATAAAGATGCAGAGATCCTGTATGCATATATGCATAACCCATGGACTCAGACAATAGGGTGCTGAAGGCCTCAAGTTGGGGGTGGGGGTGGGCAGTGGGGGGAAAAAGAAGACATATAATACTTTCAATGATAAAGGATTAATTCATAAAAAGATATAGAATATCCTATTACACCTTTATAGTCTTCCTCTTCTTTCTTTCAACAAAACAAAACAAAGTTTTTATTCCTGTGTTTTGTACTTAAAATACACAGATACCCAGGGACATTTCAGTACAGTTGTTATATATCGAGTTTCACATTTCTCTAATATGGCAGCACCATAGTTCACTCTTTACAGCATCCAGAAAATTGTCTTCAATTCCTTTCCCGAATAAGGTTTCTACTCTGCTTGCATAAATTATTTGGCCCCTATTAAGCTGATGATTCTTAAATTGGATTACCTTGGTCTGTTTCCTAGTTCTGTTGTTTTTTTCTTCCTCATCAGCTGTGATTTAGCTATGATGTGGCCGCTCTGTGAGTCCATCTTTACTAACCACAGGTTTGTCATTCAGCTCTGTCACTCTGTCTCATTAATACTTTATCTCTTTTATTGGATGTATAAATCCAAACAACTTTTATAGCATCTGTGCTTCTGTCCTTCACGTACTATATCTTCTTTTAAACTATGTTTAGTAAACTACTCTATTAATACTGGAGTTACTAATTAATATAGTTTTAAAAATTCTAATAACTTTTAAGAGTAGCTTGGTCAAGTTTTGCTTTGTTTCATATGATTTCTTATGAGTTTAGCTCTGAACTTCTTTGCCAACATTACTCTTTGATAATCTTTTTGTTTGTCTTAATTGTAGCCATATGAGTGGGTGTGAAATGGTATCTCATTGTAGCTTTGATTTGCATTTCCTGAATGGCTAATGATCTTCAGCATCTCTTCATGGGCATATTGGCCATGTCTATATCATCTTTGGAGAGATGTCTATTCGGATCTCTTGTCCAGTTTTGAATTGGGCTATTTGTTACTTTATTATTGAGTTATAACTGTTCTTTGTATGTTCTGGATATATGTCCCTTATTAGATATATGCTTTATAACATTCTCTACCTTTCTGTGAATTGTTTCACTTTCTTGATGGTGTCCTTTAAAGCACAACATTTTCTCATTTTGACAAACATCAATGATAAGAGATAATCAGGAATCGAAGCCTGACCTCCTGGTTCATAGGTTAATGCTCAACCACTGAGACACACCTGCCAGGCGAGGGAATCTTTATTTGACCAGCAGCCTAAGTGTGTCCGGAGGGTGGTGTGTTTAACTCTTTCTGAAATGCTCAGGTATGAGCTGTGGCCGAAGAGCTCTCTACAAGGGGGCTGTTGTCCCCACTGTGTATTCTGTATTATGTTCATAGAAAAGTAGCTTCTTAGGGATAAAAGATATTATAAAGGTTATCGAGTTTAGTTTTGCCAACTGAAATGACACTATGCAATAGTAATGTATCTAATTGGTATTGGATCTTGGACATGAGGGGGAGAAATACAAGAAAGAAGAGAGAGGAGGGACTTGGAAGAGGGAGCCTGTGGAGGTAGCAATGTTACCTCCAGACTAGGGATCAGTTGTTGGCAAGCATCTTACAGAAAACTCTATAATTCTTTAAATCTACATATTGTGTTTCCATTACAATCTTAAATCCCTGAGAAGCTGATAAAGATTAAAGAAGAAATTCTTTAATTTTTGGTAACATTAGGACATAAAGGCAAACATTGCTTTTCATAATTAATAACATGAGGCCCAAGCTTTTATGTAAGGATTCTCTTTCTCGTTGTGTGCTGCTCATCTGTTTACTGTGTTGTAAACAACATTACACTCTGGTTTCAAATTTATGTCAGCCTTGCTTTAGCTAAAGGGTCTTCTGGGCTGCACTGTTCAAGGAATAAATCAGGGTCTCCAACAGATACTTCTCCATGAAATATCAATATTTGATCCATCATATTGCTGTTTAGTTCTCTACCTTAATAAAGGTGTGCTAATGGAAGACTACACATCACAGGAATTGACAGGAGAACTGTATGTGGAGTCAGAAAACCCCATCCTGTGTGCAGGCTCTGCTATGGGCTTGCAGTGGGACATTGAACAAGTCTCAGCCTCCTCAAGGCTATTCCCCTTCCTGGGAAAGTGAGTCATAGCCACTGCATAAAGGTCATGTTGGGATTAGATAATCCTTAGATGCAAATGTGTTATGAGCTGGAAAATGCTGGACATGTTAAGGGGTTTTAATGTTGGATAGAGTTCGTTAGTATAGCAATGGGATTCTTGTATGGAAATCTGGAAACCTGTGCCTGATGCACAGTAAGCAGTCAGCACATGTTTGCTCAGTGGAGGCTAAACCTTGGCTCAATGAGAGAGGGTAAGGGACTAGATTTTACTACCCTTCAGCACTTAGAGAAGTGCAAAGTAATTACTCAACTTTTATTGAATTCTGGTGAGGCTCTCCTGTCTGTCAAGAGGGATAGTGTAGGAAGGGGCATCTGTGGCTAGTCCTGGGGCAGGTGATAGGCAGGGGAAGTAGATGCCAATGGTGATATGAGCAGGTTATGCCTGGAAAAGGTCTGTCATTTTTTCTGGGCACAGTGAGACTGTGGAGGTCCTTGGAAGCATCCATAGACATTCAGGAGTTGAAAATAGGGAACAGCCTAGGGAAGGGAAGGGCAGATTTCTCAAACCAGTAGGTAGAGGCCGAGTCTGGGGTCATCCACTGTGGCAGTAAAGGTGGTTTACACCGAGGCTGGTATATTGACAGTTTAGCCACTGTCCTTCCCAAGAGGCCAGCAGGTGGATATAGTCGGGCCATGTTCTGTAGTATTTATGAAACAGTGAATGATTCTGGGGTGAATGAAAAAGAAGGATCCTTTGGGCAGTAACATTTTTCATATAAAACATGCAAGTGCTATACATTTATGCAGTGCCTGATTTTTCATATGTAGCTATCATAGGCATCTTTCTAGGGTAAGAAAATACATTAGGTTTACATTATTTCTTAGCAAAAAAAAAAAAAAAAAGAAAGGTTCTTTTCAAAGGCAAAGAACAGAATCTATGCATATTTTTGCACATCAAGCACTCTAGTTTTTTTCTTGACAAAAGTGAAGATTTAGATTAAAGAGCCTCACAGTTTCATTAGGTTCCCGTTGATGCATGGCAGTTCCCCACAGCCTCATCTTCCTTTTACTTTTCATGTATTTCCTGGCTTATCAGTGAAAATACATGACTGAATTGTTTAAGCTGGATTCCTAGCTTCCTGTGCTGTATATTCCATTTTTTCGCAAGATATTCTAGTGGCTTCCCTCCTGTTAGCAGAATTCATGGTAGAAAATTGGTAAATAATTCATTTTGTTCTTGCTCTGGTTTTAAAAAAGAGAGCCCAAGCCCAGCCAGGCAGAGATACTCAACATATCATTTTATTTCTGAAATTTTAGCAGAAATAAACAAGATGATTAGTTTGAAATGTAATTCATAGTCAATGAGTTAAGAAGAAATACTTCAGTTGCTGATTCCAACTAACTCCACTAGCCCCCTAAAATATAGTTAGCTTTTGGTGTGATTTCAAGTACCTTCTTTATACTTAAATTTGTAAAAATTTTGCAATGCTGTTTCAGTATTTCAAATTATGTTTAAACCGTTTATTATTATCAGCATTGATCTGAAATCATATGCAATGAAGGGTAGGTTATATCTCTGAGTTTCTGGAAACTATACATTTGTATTAAAAGGAGTAAGTTGACAGTTTTGTGGTATGTTAATGCTCTTGACCTAGTATTACAAGAAGGGGAGTTGCTTTTAGTCTGTGATTTACATTCCTTTTTTAACCAATTTGGGTTACAATCTGTGTCAACAATCTCAATGAGCATTTCTGAAAAATCTAAATAACGAAGTTGAAATTCTAACTTTTAAAAAATAATATTCTTTATTTGCTTATTTGTTAGTATGGTATTGCAAATCTCACAAACATAAGAAACTGAGGACAACTTGCAGGGAAAGGGGGAATGTGCACTTAACATGCAAATAAAAAATTCTGCATAGTGTTTGCAGCTATAATATATGGAAGTATTCCTGTTGCAATTCTGTTGTTGCCTTCTCTGCCCATTTAAAAATATAGTCTTTGTTATGGAAAATATCAGATCTGTGCAAAAGTAGAATAAATGACATAAAGAACCTCTATGTACCCCTTATTCAGTTTCAACAATCCAAACTTATGGCCAATTTTTCATTCATACCCCCACCCGCTTCTTTCTCCTTGCTTCTTGTCCATCACTGTGAAGCAAATACCAGATATCAGATCCTTTGATATGCATATATTTTCGTATATTTTTCTAAAAGATAAGGACCCTTACAAAAGAGAACTGCAATACCTTTATCATACTTTAAAAATTAGCAATGATTCTCCAGTATCATATATCCAATCAGTGTCTCATTTTTTTTTCTGTCTCTTAGGTGGTTACTTTTAATAGTTGTTTGTCTGAGTTAGCATCTAAACAAAAGCTGTACTTTGTTTGATATGTCTTTTAAGACTCTTAATTTATGTGTTACTCTTCTTTCTGCCACCTGCCCTACCCCCATCTCATCACCATTATTTGTTGAAGAAACTGCCATCCTTTGTGTTTTAGAATTTGCAACATCCTAGATCTTGCATATTGCATGCCTGTGGAGTCCTTTAGTGTGTTCCAGTGTTTTCTGTATTTGATGTGAACTGGTAACAAAGGGCTTGGTCAGATTCAAGTTTAAATATTTTTGACAAGACTGCTTCATATGTAGGAGTATCTATATCCATCTGGTGGACAGCTGGCTGTTGGTCTCTGTTCTGTGACATTAAAATTATTTAGCAAGTTCTAGGCACCTGATTTAGCCTGATCCGTTCATTATAAAGTATTCCATCAGCTTTTCACCTAATAATTTTTTGCAGCCATTTATAATTATTGCTTATTACTGTAACTAGAGGCCCATTGCACGAAGAGATTTGTGCAATAGGCCATCCCTTCCGCTGGCTGCCAGCACCGGTTTTCCTCCGGCACCTGGGACTCAGGTCTTCGCTCCGGACTGAGCCTTCAGTCTTCGTGGCTCCAGACAGAGCCTTCAGTCTTCGCTCCGCCGCTTCACCCCTATGTATGCAAATTAACTGCCATCTTTGTTGGGTTAATTTGCATACTCCCCGGATTGGCTGGTGAGCGTAGTGGAGGGACGGTTAATTTACATGTTTGTCTATTATTAGGTAAGATATCAAGAAAAACAGATATTATTTTTTAAAGTAATTTTTGAGACCTGGGGTGTCACTGAGCGACAAAGCTGTGTGACTTGCCTGCTAAGTTTGATGATTCAGCATTCTTCCTTAAAGCTGTCACAGAGACTCTTACTGAGCTAATAATTAGATCATTTAGAAGCTCTGTGAAAAACAGAGGTGCAAAGTAACCCAATACCCTTTCCATGAAGTTGGCATTCTCATAAGACAATTTCTCAGAATCAAGCCTAAAAGGGAGACAGCAATTTTTTGTTTCATTTTTGTTAAATAACAAAGCATGGACTTCTTCAAGATTTCAATATATACTACACTATTGGTACATTAACATTTTATTAAAAATAGCAGAGAATAATGTTGGGAAAGACCATTGCAATATCTCTATCCCTTCAACCCATTTGTCTGTTCGGATTTGAGAGATGAGTTGATGAATACTAATAATCCCCATCAAGAAAGGGAAGGAGATCGAGTTAGGAAGGCCTGGGAAGGATGTTCCAAACAAGCAGCTAATGTTGAGAGGAGTGCAAGGTGATTTGACTCATCATACTGGAAGGCAACTTAGAGATTCTCTGATCTAATGACTTTGCCAATCCAAAGAATTCCTCCAAAAGAATCCAAGAAACAGGCGAGGACTTTTCTTCACTTTCTGCACTCTTATGGTGCTCATCTTGTTCGGCTTCTTTAATTCTATACATCTATTTTCCATATTGGGTTGTACATCCCTCAAGGACAAGGAATTTACCTGATTATTCTGTTGAATCCCATCTAGGATGTCAAAGGTAAACACAGCTGGACATCAGTTAAAGCATTGAAAATAGATTTTATTCAGGAACTACTGACAGTATCAGGAAGAGCTGAGCACCAGTCTCATTTGTGCAAAGATGACTAGAAACTTTAAAGGGAGAATGAGAGAGGGGCCAAGCTGGGGCTCAGCAGAGTCAGAGATGTGAAAAACGACCAAGGGTCGGTCAGTGTGAAAGGGATTTGGCTGGTCTCTCCTCAGGTGTTAGCTAGAACACATAGTAAATTCTTCTGGTGGTGTGAGCTTTCTCAGCCAAGCGTTTTCGTGGGAGGCTGGGGTCGTTCTAGGCATGTGGCCTTATGGTGCTAGGATCAATGCTAGGGTTTGGTCCTCTCCTAGTACAGAGGTTTGGATGGAATTTGGTATGTGCTGAGAGTTCTGCAGTTCTCAGGGGTCTAGAAAACGACTTAATGAATTTGTGTTGACTGAATAAATTTAAATAAATTTCATTTTCTCTACCCTCAAAGGAAGGGGACCAGTTAGAATGTTTTCCACTGTCTGGTAGTACCTAGACACAGCCAGGAAACAGGAGTAACACCTCCACCCCTAGGTCCACCTGGCTGTTCCTGTGTTAGCAAGGATAGTGGGACTTGCCTCCTCGATGGCTAGTCTCTCCACTTGATTTTTTGGAAATAATTCAATATGGATCAACTTGTTATAAAATGATAATCTGTTATTAAAATGATTAAATATTTTCATATCTAATCTGTTATTAAAATGATTAAATATTTTCATATCTACTACAGGTTTCTGAGAACTATTAAAGATGGACAGTTCACACATTTCTTACCCGGGGAATCATACCCAACAGGGCAGCATTTCTGTCATATGCTTTCATGAAACTTTTCCTTCCTAGCATTTATCTCAGGTTATAGTGTGTTTATTTGCATGATAATTTTAGAGTGTATGCCGTGGAAACTAGGTCTTTACTTGTTCACCACTGAAAGGCCAGCGTCTACCACAGTGACTAGAAACTATTAGATATTTTCCAAAATGATCAATGTAATGACTAAAGGAATTCCATCTTACCTTGCCTTTTCCTATAAGATAATGTTGACAGTGTAGAAATGCTATTTAATAGAAACAGGGAGAATGAATGTTTATATAATATCATGGATCATGAGTTATGTTTCAGCGATTCTTCTTCTCTTCATAGATTCCTTACCTATTCCTACCTCTTGGCCTTCAACGTGTGGCTTCTGCTTGCACCTGTTACCCTGTGCTATGACTGGCAGGTCGGCAGTATTCCTCTGGTAGAGACCATCTGGGACATTCGGAATTTAGCCACCATCCTTCTGGCGGTAGTGATGGCCTTACTGAGCCTGCATTGTTTAGCCGCCTTCAAGGTAATTTTCTTAAATGTCAATGAACTCTACATTTCAAGAGAGATATTCTATAGTCTATACTCAGTAATGCTTTTTTTCCCCCTCAACAGGAGGTTTGGGTCTAAATCAAATTGACTCTTTTGTCTAAAAAAACTTCATGCATTTAAAATTTCCCTGGTAGGTATATGTATTTTAAAGATCTTAGTGGGATTAACAGACCTTGGTCACATCATATTTCTTTATATTGTATTTCTTTTACATTTTTCTTTTACCGTTTCTACCAACCCTATAGAAATTAGATCTGAAATTTAATTTTGCCAACAAGAAATTTGTTTCCTGCTACTATGGTTGGCTAATTTTTGAAGTAATCTGATTTCATATAATGTTCAATGAGATCATGATAATATATCATAAGTGCTTAAATTATGGTTAAGACTCTACTTCCACTGATGGCTGCCTGCCTCAGTTGGATGATACTTCATAAAAAATAGTATAAAACTACAAGAGTTATTGATTGCAACCATTTAAAAAATAATCAGAGACAGCAAAGAACTTGAAAATGCTTATTTATGAAAAACTGCTACTGAATTGGTTAAGATGCCGGAGGGTATTCTCATCTCCCCATCTTCCCCTTTCCCTTCTCCCCGCAACACACATACACCAGTGTTAAAAACAAGTTTACTGGTTAGAGATGGCTGATGTGGTTTGTGGGGAGTAACCAAGCAGCTAGAAATTTAAGGGGGAGATTTGGAAGCCAAGAGCTATGCAAGGGCTGAGATAATGTGCTCTCTGCATTCATGGCTGACTGCTGAACAGCATGTGTACAGGGAATTCCCGCAGGAGCACATGCAAATGGAAAGCCTGGGGAGACTGACTTATTTGCTGCAAATTTGAATGAGTTCTTAACCCATACATAGTTTGGGTAGCAGAGAGCAGACAACACTTCACTGGCTAAAGTCGTCTCTATATACCCTCTGTTGAAAGCACCGGCTGATCACAAACTCTGCAGTCACAAGAGAAACCCCCTGGAGACCCAGGAAAAAGAAAACAAACAAAAAACCTGAGCAAAAAAGTCAGCCCTCTGCAGAAAAACAAGTTTTTCACTTTGAGTCCAGGCTAGTTCATCAGATAATAAAACAGGGAAACCAGCATATGTCAGAAGAACAAAATAGAATATGGAGTCACTACAATGTATGGCATACCATGCCTAGTCTATAATAATAAAAGCGTAATATGCAAATCGAGGACCTTCCGGACGACCATACTATGACACCCATTGGCACCAGGCCAGCCAAGGAGAGTGCTATTCGATTGGTCCAGGACCTGGCTATTGCCACATGATCACCCTGCAGAGGGAGGCCCAGGCCACCGGCTGCTGGGGCAATCAATCAATAGGGGGCTCCACAATTGCCCCAAAGAGGGAAGCCCAGGCCACCTACCAGCAGGCTGTGGCAGGTGAGCGGGGCCTCCCTCTGCGGGGGGGGGGGTGCGGGGGGGTTATCACATGACTGTCAGCCTTAGATCTGTCCTTCATTAAAGCCCCCACATATCACAACAAGGAGGGGAGCCACTGTTGGAAAGTGATTATTTGCTCATTGACATTCTTACCTCATTCCAAAAGGGACTTGGAGCAGCATAAGGCAAAAAAAAATACAGTACAGTTGAATAGACCAGGAGATGGGAAAACTTTTTTTGTTTTTTTACAAAGAACCAGATTGTAAATATTTGAGGCTTTGCTGATCATACAGTCTGTCACAATTATTCAATTCTGCCATTGTATCCTAAATTAGCTGACCCCTGGTACAGAACAGTGTACTGCCACAGACCCACACAATCAGATGGAACATGCTTTCAGATTTCTAAAATTTATTTTGCATTTTGTTCAGCCACATAATAAGTTATGTTATCATTATGGTACATAGATTACTATGGAATAACTTAAATTCCAGAATAGCCATTATGAAACCTGGAAAAATCAGCATGCTGTTTTAATATATCAAGTGGTAAAATAAAATTGAACTTGAGGAATGAAGGTTGTCTTTAATGGTGAATGGCTCTGTGCCAATGTTAATTTTTTTTTCTTTTAAATTTCTGGGCTACATTCTCTTTTAAGGTCCTGTTCGCTGCAAACTCTATGTTCTCTATGCTTTTTCTGTCCTCAATTCATGAAAATCCTCTCCATACTATTAAAGGTCCAATTGTTCTGGCCCATTTGCGACCCATCCAGTTTGTCCTGCTTTGGGACCATTGCAATCACTGATGGAAGAGGTCTTGACCGTATCTTGACACGGTTCATCCGTGCCATGGGAGTAGCCATTGTCTGGGATGCCTCTCTGTTTCAGGTTTAGCCAGCCCAGCTGATCCAGTCTCTTATCACTGTGCTCAGCTGGCTTCTTTCCCCGCCACCTTTTTAACTATGGTGATAACACCCTGTACTTGGCCATGGTTTTCCAGTTCAGTAGCTGAAGTCAACTTTAGCCCAGAGGCCATGCTCCAAAGCTGAGAATTTTGTTGATATCATTTTTCTGCTGAGAGTTTGAGAATGAGCTTACTGCTTCATCAGATGCAGTGTTGGAAAATAGAGAAGTTGAATTTACACCACACTGTAAAATGGAACATATTTAAAGGTGCATTGCAACTGCCTTTTCCCACATACTTTTATGTCTTTGCTATGTGTGATACAAATTGTGACTTATGTTAATTCACCCTAACCTCACTGGTAGTGTACTTTACTAGGTGTACCAGTTAGTAATGCGGATTTTTTTCAATAGATGGAGTTACACATATGTTGATATATATGCGATTTGATATGTATGCCATTTTGTTGTATTGATATCAAGCTTCAAAACTTCATATGTCAAATTTGCTGAAGGTGTTAACATCATAGATATTTTTACGCTTAAAAATGTTGAATTTTGTGCCAAAAAAAGAACATTTGCGGGAAGTTTTAATTCTTTACTTTATTTTGAAGAAAAGTGCTGCTGAAAGTTATCGTATACTTCAGGAAGCTTATGGTGAACATGCTCCATCTCAAGATACTTGGGAACGTTGGTTTAAATGCTTTAAAAGTGATGATTTCAATGTGAAAGACAAAGAACATCCAGGTCAACTGAAAACGTTTGAAGACCAACAGTTACAAGCATTATTGGATGAAGATGCGTGTTAAACTCAAAAACAACTTGCAAAAAGATTAAACTTTGCTCAGCAAATAATTTCCGATCATTTACAAGCAATGGGAAAGATTTTAAAGGAAGGAAAATGGATGCCACATCAATTGAACAAAAGACAAATGGAAAACCAAAAAGTCATCAGTAAAATGTTGCTTCAACAGCACGAAAGGAAGTCTTTTTTGCATTGAATTGTGACTGGCGATGAAAAGTGGATTTCTTTTGAGAATCCCAAATGCAAAAAATCATGGGTTGATCCAGGTCAATCATCAACCTCGACTGCAAGGCCAAATCGCTTCCGAAAGAAGGCAATGCTCTGCGTTTGGTGGGATCAGGAAGGTGTGGTATATTATGAGCTTCTAAAACCAGGTGAAACCATTAATACTGATCGCTACCAGTATTAATCAATTTCAACCACGCTTTGATCGTGAAACCACCAGAATGTGCCAGAAGACATGGCAAAGTAATTTTGCTTCATGATAATGCACCATCACACACTTCAAAACCAGTTAAAGACATGTTAAAAGATCTTGCCTGGGAAGTATTAACCCACCCGCTGTATTCACCAGACCTTGCTCCTTCAGATTACCACTTGTTCCAATCGATGGCACACGCACTTTCTGAGCAGCACTTCAAAACATACGAAGAAGTAGAAAATTGGGTCTCTGAATGGTTTGCCTCAAAACAAGAAAAGTTCTATTGGGACGGTATCCACAAATTACCTGAAAGATGAGGGAAAAGTGTAGCTAGCAATGGACATTACTTTGAATAAAGCACATTTGATGTTTCTCTTGAAATTACAATGTTTTCTTTGATTACAAAATCCGCCATTATTAACTGGTACACCTAGTAAATTCATGACCACAAATCTCAGGTAGGAGCCAAACCTGTCAATGTTGGAGGTAGCCCACGTGTGCACGTGGAGGGGCACTGCCCAAAGTTCCAGATCAAGAGTCCTGAGGCTGGAGGAGGGGAGTCTGGGGGGTGGAATGATTAGCACTGAGCTGAGGCTGAGGCCAGGCTCTGCCACTGACCCTCTGTGAGTCACTTCCTTCAGCCTTGTTCCTGCACCAGAGTGTAGGATCACAGAAGGCTGTGCCAGGGTGAGCCACATAAGCCACTTGGCACAGTGACTGATATGTGTGAAGCATTGAGAACCTGTCAGGTGTCTTTATAGTCTTGTTGTCATCACCATCATCACCTCATCATGAAATTGTCTCAGGTTAATGTCAGGAGCACAATAAGGGTTCCTGTTTATATTTTGTAAGAAAAAAAAACAGACATGAAAAAACATAATCCAGTTGACTGCTATTTTGGTTCTATATATTTCAATATACATTCATGCTCTACATGATCAAAAATATTTATAATGCTACTGAAGATTACTCCTGCCCCCTCCCCCCAACCTCCTTTTACTAGTATTCCCCATCCTAAGAAACAGAGGTTAAATTTTTACCCAAAAGCTAATGGCAGTAAAATATTTTTGTTTTTAATGCTTTTGCTTATTTTGGAATTTGGAAGTAGGTATATTCAAATGTAACAGAAGGGCAAAACATAAAACTACTAACATATCCTAACATAAAACTACTCTGTTAGTTAAAAGTGAATATTTATCAAGAGAAAGCAATAGTGACAAATATCACTGACTTATTTACAAATGAACATTGGAGTCGTCACCTAAAACACCAAAGAATAGAAATATATCATTGATGTCTTTAAAGGTATTTGAAAGTTTAGCAAAAATAGGCAGGATATAAGAAATAATTATTTTATTTTACTAGAGGCCTGGTGCATGAATTCATGCACGGGTGGCGTCCAGCTAGCCCACCCCGATCAGGGCCGATCAGGCTGGGC